TATTTCTTATTTAAGTACAATAACCTGGATCATTGGCTGTAAAGAATAGTTAGGTTTATTATAAAACCTTTCCTTTCCTAAAGGTAGTAAAAGGTTCATAGTAACTCTCCACTGGGGAGGAATGGCTATGTACTCTGCCCTATTTGGGGAACTGTAATACTTCTCTTAATGGATGTAAACTTTCCATGGTTGGTTTTTACATGGTGTGTAATAAAATTAGATAAAACAAAGATTAAAAGCTATAATGTAAAGGCTTAAAGAATTGGTATTATTTAGGTGAAAGGTTTATTTGACAGGCCTAAACTTTTCTTATTTTCTCTCCAGAAAACAGATAATGCGTATCACATCAAGAGTTTCATTGGGTGTAAGAAAGCATACTAGAGTACGTGCTGGAGTACTGACATGCATCAAAATGTAGTAGGATATGTAATTCAGTTTATAATTATAATTTTGTCAAGTTTCTTATTTATATTTTAGCATTATCTGGAAAGTCTAATTACATTAAATCCCAAGGGCTAGTCCCAATTACTTCATTTAACTGGTATTTTCTTAGGAAATTTTTTGCTCTCGTAATGACCCATCATTTATTGTTTTTAGACAGAGAATATTGAAAGAGGTTCATTGACCAAAAAGGATTATTAAATACTGTGAATCACTAATGCCATTGGTATAGATATAGAATTCCCCTATGAAAATGAGTTATAAGAAAATGAAGCATTTGGGGGTTTATTATTATTTTAACTTGCTGTATCATTCCACTTAATCTATTCTGAGTAGGGGAAAAAGACAATTATTTCTTTAAACTGTTTAGAAATTATCTGAGGATTAAAATTTAACTGAGTTTTCTCCTCAGATGGCTTTTGTATTTAATGGTTATTGTTATAAGAGATCTGTTACATATTTTATTGGAACAATTTACATGACTTTGTAGCCTAACATTTCAAAGTGCTAAGTTGAATGAATATTAAAATGAAGATATTTTAAAAGCACTAAAGTAAACAGTTTTGAACTTTTGAGTCACAAGCCTTTTGGTGGGGATATAATTCCTTTGACAGTCTGAAATGCTATGGGCCCTCTTCTCAGGAAAATCTGTATATAATTTTGCTTTTAGTTTCAGAGGGTTCTTGGAGTTCCTAGAAATCTATCGCTGGACACTTAAATTTGTTTGGAGAGTTCTTTAAAAATCTTGCTTGAGGATTATTTAAAAAGTAATATCCTTAGTCTCAAAGACATAGTCTTTGGATTTTTTTAAAAGCTAAGTGAACCATTGAAAATCTCCATTGCTACTTAAAATACCAAATAGGTGACACTTTTCCACTTCTTGGGAAAGATTTTCCTTTAGGATCTGGAAAAGAGTTTCAGTCACCTTAGGATATAATGATTTTCATTAAGGGATTAAATTCTTTGCTTCGTGTAATAAAATCCTGATGAACTTGAATACTGGCAGAAGGGAATAGTCTAACTGAATTTTCAGGTAACTCAGTGATGGCTAGATTACTTACCTGGAAAATCTTTCCAGTGTATTATCAGTAAATACAGTGTTTAGGATTCTGTGGGATGTAGGTCATCATTTCGATTATCATTATATACAGTAAAGTTAGTAACAGTTGAAGCTGAACTCCTGGGCATTTTAGAAGTTAAATCTCAGCCATAAACCAAACAACAAAAACAAACAAAAATTAAGTTTAAGTTTTCTTTACTGTGCACTAAATATACTAAAAATCTGATTGTGTCTATATCAGTTTATATGCTGTGTGTAAGAACATGTGCATTTCTTTTGTAGCCACGTCATGAATATTTTAATGTCCCTGTGTACTAAATGACTACTCATCGCGTATGCAGAATTTCACAGAGGAAATAGAAAGCTGTATACTTATGAAAGAAAATATCCTCAGCTTGGAGACTATCTTGTATGAAAATAATAATAGATATTTCAGAACCAGTGCCTTTACAGTTGTAATTTATTTTCTGTTCCTATTCTTCTTTTCTGTTTTATTTTCATTCTATATGTGACTTGCATATATCTTATTCCTGCTTGCAACTTGTTTAATTTCTTCTTGAAAAAAATATGACCTATGAATGTTTTGAGTAATATTTCATCTTAAACACATACATGTTATCATTTGTGAACCATCTGATAATCTTGTAAGAGGACAACCTAGCAATTGTTACAATGTTTACCAAAGAAAATACAGCCGAAATGCTAGGTCTACATAAGTAGTGCCATAATTATAGTGTGGCTTGGTCTTCAAATGTTGGGAAAAAAAAAGAAACTATATTTAGTGTGACTGTATTACAGTCTATATGAACTAATGTGTTCTAATGTATCACTAAAAAATCTGTACCATTACATCATATTTAAGGTAAAACATTCAGTTTTTAAGAAAATGAAATGCTACATTATTGAATCACATTTATGCTACATAATACTAAACAGTCCCTTTAAGAACTGTCAGGAAGTTATGTGAGAAAAGCTCATCTGTAATATCTATTCAATAGTAAATAATCATTTGAGAGTATTAATACTGCATTTATATAACCAAAATTCTAATAGTTTACTTATATTTTACTAGTTATGGTTTCAGATATATTATCTTTTAAAGTACTTAATGATTTGTTAAGTATGGTTTTATATTTTTGAATAGTAAAACTAATATTGATCGTTATTGTGTATGCTTTTAATAAAACATGCAACATATTTTATTATAAAAGGAAAAGTACCAAATAATTCATTGTTTATATCTAGAGAGTTTAAAGCCTGAGTTAAGTAAGCTGTCATTAAACAATAAATTTAAAAGAAGCTCAAACTGCTTGACCACTGAAAGAGGACCTATGAAAATGTGTATTAGGCAGATGTGCAGGTCAGTTCTTCCCATTCTTGATGTACTGCATTACATTTGAAGCCCCTGACTGGGCTATCAAATGAGAAGTGTAGCATTACACATTGAAAGCATTCACAAACATGAGTCTTTCGTCTCCATTTTTTTCCTCCATATTCCCCCCCACCACCACAATATATTATCTGGTTTTAATGCTGCATAAATATGCATTGTCTCATGCCTGTTTCTTTGGATGTTGTGTGCTGAGCTGTAACAAGTGTTGCTTCTTTTGTTATTTGTATACAGCTGCTTGCTTTAAATTAGTACATTCGGAAAGCTTTCCTTGCATGTCTAAAATAAAAATATTGCATGTACTTTGTCTCATGTGAATGACTTTTTTCTTCTCCATCCCTTTTGCTAACATTTTACATTTTAGTTTTTCCAGGTAATTTTTTTTAATCGTGGTAAAAAACACAACAGAATTTAGCAGCTCAACCATTTCTTAAGAGTATGTAGTTCATTAGTGTTAAACACCTTCACATTGTTGTAGAACAGATCTCCAGCGCTTTTTCATCCTGCAAAACCGTAACTCTATACCCATTAAACAGCAACCCCCCATTCCCCCCCCCTGCTCCTCAGCGCTTGGCAACCACCATTCTACAGCCTATGTTTCTGTGAATTTGACTCTTCGGCAATGGTTTTTCTAGGTAGTTTTGAGCTACAACTTCAGTGTGAACATGTGAACATTACATTTTATATTTTAAACAATTCATAGAAAACGAATGTACTACTTGTACAAATCTCAAAAGGAATAAAGTGTGTAAATGATTCTTTGAAACTAGGCCTTTTAGAAGGACAAATATTTTAAATAATGCATATTTGATAAGCAACATGGTTTTCTTCAAGAAATGCTGTGTAAGATTGCAGGAAGTGAGCACATAGGGGAAATCTGACCAGCTCTAGGAAGTAGGGTGGGGGACATTTTTACATGGGTAAGCTAAGACTTAAAACTCTAGGATTCAACGTAAGCATCCTTTCAATTAATACATTAAAGGTTGTGTGACATTTAAAATATTTAACGTTAAATGGAAATGATTATTTTTAAATTGACATTTAATATGTGATTCAGATGTCTTGCAGTGTATTTAATGTTTAAGGCTAAACATAAATGAAAGATTGGCTTACATCATCACTCTTGGAGTGTTATATCATTTCCATTAGACTGTTTTTTAAAATTATAATGAAAACAGCCATACAAATAGAATAGGAACCCTCATGTACACATCACTCACTCAGCTTCAACAACCATCAGCTCACTACTCTCAATACTGTAGTTATTTCATCAACCCCCAGCACCCCATTTTGCCTCAGCATTTTAGAGCAAGCCCTAGATGTCCTATCTTTTCACCTTTAATATGAAAGTATGTATCCTTAACAGATAAGTACTACACCCCCAAAATTAACAGTAATTCCTAATGTCTTATTCCTGGTTCAGTTTTTGCTAATTGTCTGCAAAATATATTTTTATAATCAGTTTGTTAGAACCAGATTCCAAACAAGTTCACATTGTATGTGTTTGATGTCTCTTACTTAAGTCTCTTAATTTTTAACAACAACTGCTTTTTCCCCCCTTGCAATTTTTTTGTTAACAGTCGCTTATGCTACAGACTTTCCTCCATTCTGTATTTGGCTGACTGGAATCTCTTGGTGACGTTTGTTTTCTTATCCTCCGTATGTATTTAGATCTGTAGTCTGGTTCAGTTGAGGTTCCATTTGGGGGGCAAGAATACTTAATAAAAAAGAACCTTTTCCACCAAAGCTGAATTTTACCCATTTTTCATTAACACACAAACATACTAAAAGGTCATAATGTGAACTTGATATAGAGAGTTGGTTTATAGTAGCTCGTTTAGTACTATGCTAAATGCCTTCATTTAGATTTCAACTGTGTAATGCTATCAGGTAACAGATTTTTGAGCACTTTCTGGAAGTCAGGCACTAAGCCTTAGCTCCCTTAATCTCTACATATGAAGGTAAGTACTATGATCCTTGTTTTCCAAAGAAGGAAACACCATAGAGTTTAAGATTAATGTAATGCTTTACATACAGTTAAATCTGATGTATGGATTTGTGGTTTAATACAATTTTTCTTTTCCTTGTTTTGTGCCGTACCACAATTAGGATGCGAAAGTAAGTTAATTTATTATTGAATACTAAAAATTACATTGTTTTCCTCCATTAAAATATACTATGGCTTTTAATTACAAAATTGCTGATAGTAATACCTGATATTTGACCTACTTGGTCCTTTTTTGTGATGTGCAAAATCAGTTACTTTGGGAAATTTTAAACTTGTTTTTCTAGATATGCCTGCTTTGTCTTCCTTTGATGTTTAAAAATGAGTATTGGTTACATGGGACAAAAGGCAATGGTTGCCCTGGGGAGGTCTGGGAAGGCGAGTTTCTGAAGACTTGCTGCTGGAGACAGTTAAGTAAAAAACTGAGTGAAAACTCAGAGGAAGACATTTCTATTAAATATATATGACCCAAGAAAAGCATGGAAAACGAAATTTTGTGAAGAATCGGGAGAACTTGGGGTTTTCCTTGCTTTTATTTAGGGGAGGTTTTGAATTTTAACACTAGCAATGATTTCTTCAATTGCCAGTGGGTTTGACTGCTTTTTGTGTTACAGCAACAGTGCCCACCCAGCACATTGGTGGGTAATCAATAGGTATTTAATGCATGCTGAAAATACCTGTGGTCTCCAATGTTCCGGGTGAAACCCCTACATAAGCACTGGCTCTAGTAGTAGAATCCGCCCATACCACTGAACTGCTTGCATTCTTCTCTGAAACTTGCACATCCGTATGTGTCAGTTTCACCTTCTCAAGCCACCCCGGATCTGCTTACTAGAGTCTCACATTTTCCCTCCACAGGAAGCCGAAACCCCACGTAGTGTTCTTGAAGAAATTGGACTGACATAACTCTCCTCCCTTGTTGATGACTTCCTGTGGCATTTCACACACTGTAGATGGTCACTGCCTTCATGTCCATGTTAGCTAATGATGTAAGATGACGTCTTGTCAGTATTACTGTTTTGCTAAACTGCTTCATTCAGGCCTACACAATTTTTTTTTAAAGGGAACTTTCATTAATCAGTTGATAACTTAAGGGACTTAAATATGAATTAGAATGATACAGAAAAAGAAAGGCACCTGGATATTTTAAGGGTTATAGATAGGTCTGTTTCTCTTAACCTGATCATGTATGTATACCTATGAAAATGACACAATCAGGCAATATACATCTATTACTGTCTTTGGCAAAGGAAACTTTCGAAACCAAAGACTTCGATATATATGAGAATAAAGGGAATTGAAAGCACACATCAAATGAATGAATACTTAACTATGTTGAAACTTAAAAACCAAATTGATACCAAAGACCCTTATTAGAAACTACATACCTTAAGACAAAGGGAATGAATACACATGACTAAATGATAATTATGCTGTTTTACACTAAAATTATTTCTTAGGCATTCCAAACCTGGAACGAGGAACAGAGATTGTTTCTTAGCAGCATGTTTTCAGGCCATAATCATTTGGTCACTGAGTTGGATTGCTTTTGATGCCCCCAAATAAAATGGAAATGTTGACTTACCAGGAATTCTTCATGACAGTATCTTACGTAAAATGTTATCAGTCTCTTCACAAAATGTTGGCTAAGTTGTTTAAAGCACGAATATTCCTTCTGGGAGGCTTGTAACAGCGAAATTTATTTTGCTTTCCCCTAGTGCTTCCCTCTACTTAGAAGTGCTGCAAACTTAGGGCGGCTTCCTGTCCTTTCATGGCACTGCCTAGTTATCAGAAAACTTATAAAGACACACCACCTTTCATATAAAAGTGCAAGTTGAATGAGGTAAAAATGGCATTAGTGGGCCCTATATTTTTTAAAGCTGTTTCAATGTCAGTTTTATACATACTTCTACATATGTAAATATGTCTTCATGGTTTACAATTTCATTTGTATCTGCTAGGCTGGATTAAGCTTTGTTGTGATTGTGACCAATATTCAGGCCACGTGTGCACTGTCTTATCACATCGCCAATTAATTGTAATAAATGTTCAACGTACACCACTGTAGTGTTTTTTATGTATCTCCAAAAGCTTGTCAAACTGGAGAGCTGCTGAAGGAAAAAATTTTTAAGTTTTTTTCAGTAAAATGTTGATAATTCACCTCCATTTGAATGTGGTGGTTGTTAAAAGCACACACAAGATAAATGCCAGAAGATTTAAGGAGTCTTCATATACTTCAAGCCCATTAAAAAATAATGTGGATTCTATGCTACTGAGAGCTTATCTACACATTTTCAATCAATAAATGCCGCTTTTAAAACCTTGATGCACTTGACTTCTCTTTCTGAATGAGCAACTCAGATTACTCCAGGTAATCAAAGGTATGCCAAATTTACTGGATCCCACCCCCAACCCTCTGCACCCTGAGAACTGGAGGTGCTAGCACACTCACCCAACGGACTGATATTTGCAGCTACTGCCTCATGCAAGCAGCAAATAAGAGCTTAGTTAAGGGACTTCCTATTAACTACAGGTGGGAAGTGGTACATACTGAAACAGATATTGAAGGACGAGTAAACAACTACCATCAAATTAAGTTGGCTAGTCTGCTAACAAAACTACTTGTAGACTTAAAGGGCCTCCAATGCACTATTTTATTCACTGAAAAGAGGCCTATGGGCTTCTACTGACAACGCGGAATTGGAACTTTTGAATCATAAATCGTAACCAAGTTGTAAGTTTAAACTAATAAATTTAAGTTCAAGATGGACAGTTATCAGGATAATGAACTCATCAGTGCTTTAAACACTGCTCCTTCCCTCCCCTCCATACCACACTGCCTGTTAACTCTTGGAAAAGTCACCAACATCTCTACCTTGAGCACAAGCTGGTGTTTATCCACCACGATCTATAGAGACTACTCAGCTTTAAATACCACATTTAACTATACCTTGGCATGTTTAGGAAAGTATTGAAAAATACTTTATTTAGTGATAATTATTCAGCATTAGTTATTCTGGTAGATAATTACAGGAAATTCTCAATCATTTTTAGGAGAAAGTAGGCATTTAAAGCCTGGAACAAATCAATGTTTAAAATAAAATGTAGGGCTGGCCAAGTGGCGCGTTGGTTAAGAGCTGGCTTGGGATGCCAGAGGGCCCTGGTTCGGATCCCACATATGAGGGCCAGTGACACTGCCCTCTACAGCTAAGATGCTGAACAACAGCTCAACCTGGAGCTGGGCTGCCGTGAGTCGCCGGCGACAGCGTGGGCTGCAGCCCCTGCTGCAGTGGATTGCCATGGGCTACCATGGGTAGCCAGCAGCCAGCGTGAGCGGCCAGCAGCCACCGTGAGCAGCCGTCCAGAAGCCGGCGACTGATCTGACTCACCCGGGAAGAGCGCAATGATGGTGCCAACTTGGGCCAGTGAAGCAACATCCTCCACAACTGGACTGAAGAACAAAAGGACAGCAACTTGTCGGTTCCCCTTCCCCCAATTCCCCAATTAAAAAAAAATCTTAAAAAAAATGTATTCTGGGCCACATACTTCCTTTTATAGGCTACAGATTAAAGCACTGCCATTTTCAACAGATACCCAGAAATCCCAATCTTGAAGTCGATTCCTATTTCATTTCTGTTAACTTTACTATTTTGTATATCCTTAAGTCCTTATTTCCAAATCTCAAGTTGCCAAATGCTACTCTGAAATTCAAGATCCCCAGTATGTCAATGGAAAGGAGGTTACTAAGAAAATTAAAAATTTATGAGGAAGCATGGAAAGATCTATGATCTGAAATCAAAGAATATTTTGCTTTTAACTTTTTTATAGCATGTTCTGACCACTTTTTTTTTTAACCAGAATTGCTTTAACACTAGGCATAGTCAGTGGCAATGACTCTAATTTTCCTGAAAATTACAAAAATAAAATTTGCCTCTATCTAAAGAACTCCCCCCACTATAAAGATGAACACCCTGATGGAAAACCTCTAAGCTGAGGAGGGAGTGCAAATATGAGGTAGAAAGGAGGGGAAAAAATTGACTACCTTTTAGTACTTTCAAACTGAGAATGTGAATTTTAAAGTAAACAAAGTTGTTTCAGCCATTACATGTAGATAAATCCAATAGATTATTAATAAAGGGCAAACAAGCACATTTGTTGGCCATTAAATACAGAACAAAGTGTTTGGCTTAGCCAATGCATACAGAAATGAGCAGTTAAACATAAAGTTTACCAAACTGGCAAAGATTAAAGTAACTTGGTGTATGGGAACAGCAAAAGTTATGATTGATGATTTTCTTGTAGTTTTTCTGGAGGGCAATTTAGAAATTCTTCAGTATCCTTATCTCTTGATGTAATTTATCCTGAGGAAATGATCACAAATGAATGAAAATATATAAGGAAATGCACCACAGGGTTGTTTATAGCACAGTATTCTTTAATAGTGCAAAAACTTAAAATAACTTAAAAGTCCAACAACAGGGATATGGTTGAATAAATTGATAGAGCCACACTATGCAGTGAGTAAAAAAAAAAGCATTGAGAATAGGGCTTCATGAAATATGACAATGTTTTAAGTGAAAAAAAGCACATCTGACTGCAGCTATATATGATCTTCGTGTAAAAAAAATGTGTGCACACTCCTAAAAAGATAAAAAAGACTAGCGCAATGCTCCAGTGTTAACTGATTAACTGTAAGGGTTAGGATTACAAGTAATTTTCATGTTATTTATACATTTTAGGTTTTCTATACTCGACACACAATTATAAGAGAATAAGAGGATTTTAAAATAGGGTTCCAGGTTAGAGGATTCTGCCAGACTTGCCAACCCCCTATCCGGGTATATAGCCGCCATAATAAATAAGATACTCATTCATTTCAGAGCAAAATCGGTTTATTTGCGTTTGGGACTAAGAGTAGTTCGGTCTCTACTACCCGACCTCCTCCCGCCGTGACTCCTGGACCTAGAGGGGCTGGGGCTGTGGCTGCGGCTGCGGCTGCGGCTGTGGCTGCGGTGGCTCCGGCCCCGGTCCCTTTTTCTTCCTTTGCTTCGTGAACTCTGCCTCTCCCCACTTTTTGACGTGTGCTTGTGAGATTTCTTGGCCCTGTGGCTACTTCTCCTTTTCCTCTCAGCTTCCCCGTTCCGTTTGTAGGAGTGGGCGGGGCTCGCGCTCCTCCGCCTCCTGGGCCTGCCATAGTATTCGTCATGGTGGCCCATCCTCTCTCTCCTCTCTGAGTTCTTCCCAGAGGAGCCGCTCCGATCTGGAGACAGGTAGATGTCCCTGTTAGCCTCCCAAAACTCATTGTTGGGGTTTCGGAACACATGGAGAAAGTTGCAGTGCTTCCCTCTTGGGCACTGTTGTATTTCAAATAAACCTGCAATGGCACAGTGAGGAAATGGCATTATTGCTGCTCCTTTATCCTTCTTAGAAGGTACATGTCTCATGTTTGGGTCTGACAGAACTAGTGTCTACTGGGAATTATCTAAAAGGTGCTTGCAATAAACTGATGTCACAGGTGTGGTTCCCAGATTTCCAAAATATTCTCAAGCTCTAAAAATTGGCATTCTGAAAGGTAAGAAATCTGAAGTCTGAATTAACCAGGTTACCCCGTTCCTTAGTAGACGATGGTGTGGGGTGCAACGAGCAAATGGCGACCACATAATTGTTTCTAGGGTTCACAGTCCCACTCATTGACAAAGCAGATCCCTCATTAATCCTGAAGCTGCAGCCCCTGGAGTCCCCGTGGCAGTGTGCTTCCAGGGCATGCCATGCTGGTGGCAGGACAGAGCGACTGGCCAGAAGAGAGAACCTACTGTAAGGGGAGGATGAAGATGGTCAACACTGGCCTAATGCTTTACCTTTACCAAGTGCTTTGAAAATGGAAGATTCTTTTCAAAGGTGAAATCTATTTGAACAACTTAGAGATCCTTTTGGGGTTTTCAAACCTTTTTTTTAAAAGCAGTAAATTCCCAAAATATGTCAAACAGTTCAAAGTGAAATACCTCCATACCACACACGCTACACAAAAAGTTAAAATGGATCAGTGTCCTAAATGTAAGACAAACTATAAAACTCAAAAACAAGCACAAGTAAAATCTTCACGATGCTGAGCTAAACAATGGATTCTTAGCTATGACACCAAAAGCACAAGCCAAAAATAAATAAACAAATAAATAAATGGGATTTCACCAAAATTTAAAACTTCTGTGCATCAAAGAACACTATCAAAATGAAAAGACAACCCCCACATAATGGGAGAAAATATGTGCAAAGCATATCTGTAATAAGGAACTGGTCTGCAGAATATATCAAGAACTTTTACAACTCAGTAATAAAGACATAACCTAATTAAAAATGGGCAAAGTATCTGAATAGACCTCACCAAAGAAGATACACAAATAACTAATGACGAGGACGTGAAAAAATGCTCAACATCATTACGTATTAGGGAAAATAACCACGCTGTTATTTAAAAATAACAAGTGAAATAGTCTCCTGCTTTGGGTGATTCAAAGTCACACTGAGAAGCACGTCACCAAAAAAAACCAAAAACAACAAAAAAACAAAACAAAACAAAGCACCTCACCAAAATCACACTGGATTCCCAGGAACTGACAAAAGTAACTGGCTGCCTTTATGGAGAAAACAGTTCCATTTCTTTCAGTCCCAAGCCTTTAAAGTGTAATGGGTCTTCTGGTTTCCAAAGCAAGGAATTCTAAACTTTCTTCTTTCCTCCTTCAGTAAATGGTTTTTAACTGACAGCATCCATTAAGGCCAGGTTGGCAAAGATTCATACTTTATATATAAAGGACAGATTTTTTAATAAGGTTTTAAGCAGGCAAGTGTAAAGCAAAGAAAATAAGATCTCCCCTAAGGCCTGAGTAGCCCATGTTTTAGCTCCCGGGTACATCAACAATAGTTTGGCTAAGCCTATCTGATAGAAATCAAGAGAAAGAGGCCATCAAAATTGTTGGCTACTCAAAAGACTGACTCATTTCCTGTTGATGAGTCAGCCTGACTGAATGCGCCACATCATACAAAAGCATGTATTTCAAGCAAGGCAGGGAATGTTATAGGTAATGTTTTAGGTGGCAAGGATAACCAAAGATTCATTAGGGACAAAGATGGGGGAAAACATAGCTCTAGTGAGGGGAGCCAATGAATAACAAACACCTCTGAAAGCGCAGTAAGATGGCTCCCCACAGACACAACATCTCAGGCTTCCTGAAGTGCCAGGCACAGAGCCCAGGAGTGAGGATGAGAAGACTGGAATTCTAGCCCCAACTTTGTCACTGATACACTGTGACCTCAATCGTCTCATGCATAAAGTGACCCACAAGGTCTGTTACAGGTCTTAAATGTGATGATGCCCTTTATATAATCCATCACCTAGGCTTGTCTACTGCGAGAGGCAAAAGCTATGCTTCACCCCTTTAAAAGATTGTCTGTCCTTTATGTAACAGTGGAACAACTGGGGGAAAAAATCATCCTGTTGTATTTTACCACAAATGGCCATTTTCCACCGGGTCACTGGGCAGAATTCACACTGAAGCTGTCGTCCTGCATACCACCGTCCGTTGAACAGGGCAAGGGCCGCTTGGCATTCTTCTTCCCTTTAAACCACAAATAAAGGCTCCACTTTACAGTAACGTTCTAATATGTAGATTAATCCTGTTGTTAGTTAACCCTCTTATTAGTTTATTGTAGGACCACCAAGCTCACTGCTTTTGTACTAGCCAGGGAGTTCCCATTAGAGCATTCAAGCTCCTGAAGCTCACCATCTATTCAGGAACCCTTTCACTAAACCTCTGAGAGGTTCTGATGCATGGAAATGGCCTTGAACCAAAGCTTCTTAAACCAGAAGATTGGCCCCTTAAAAATGCAGAAGTGTCTTCCATTGTCAAGAGCCTGTTCTTTCTCAGCTAGGACTGCTGTTCTTATTACAATGGCTAATTTAACCCATTAGCCACGGCACAACCCCGGCAAACAGCAAACTGAGCAGAAATGACACACTAGCTGTACACTGAGGATTACCTGGAGCTTCAATTTCTGGCTCTTTCGATTTATACTTTTCTATTCTCTATTCTAGTTATCCCTTTTCAGTCTGTATTTTAATTATTAAAATTATATAAGTAAAAAACTAGCTATATTGCAAAAGATTCAAAACTTTGCAAGCATACAAAGAATGAAATACAAATGTATTCATTTCAAATCCCTTCTATATTTCTGTATCAGCTCTTAATATTCACATTTTTAAAAATACCATGCATATGAAAGCTAAATTTTCAGTGGAAAAATCCCGGATGCCAACATAATCACAACACTACTGTGATAGAATGTGAAGACATTTTACTTTCAGAATACTTACGATTGATACTGAACATACACATTGCCCCTCAGATGAGGTTCCAAATTGCAGCTGACCTAAGGGGCAAGAAAGAATTCTATCATTAAAAAAAAACAAAACTAAACTAAGGGAAAGAAGCCCTTAAGTCATCAAATGCACTCTGTCTGGCCAACACTACCAAACTGAGTGATCAACTGAAGATTTCAAAATCGAGATACTACCCCTCTCTCACATCTATCTAAGGCATACTTCAGCACATAACGCATGCAAGCCCCAACCATCTGATCCCTGTTGGTCCAGATTTCCTCCCCGCCCCCCCGCCACCATAGATATGTTTACATATACATAAAAATACAGAGAACAGAAATCAGCCCATATATACATCCCACAAACGAGCACTACTCTGAGGCTGGGTGTATCCTTCACATTCCAAACAGAAATACACACACACGCACCCAAATATCATATGTGTGCCATAGCATATACGTGTTATGTATACACATGCAGACATGCATGTCTTTGAGTGCAGATGTGTCGAGTGTGCATAAGTAGGTGACAAGTACCTTCAACTTCACTAGGTACTGACAAACTGCCCTCTGAAGTGGTTTTACTAATTCACATACCCTCACCCACTCATGGTATTAAAAGAATTGATCATTTTTTACCTGATAGGTGTGAATCCTATCTCATTTTAATATGCCCTGTTCCTATGATTCCTTAGGCTGAACATCTGATCATTTGCCTTCAAAAATGACACATATGATCTGGTTTTAAATAATGGTATAAAAAGGTCCTCAAATATTCACACTTATGTTTAGCTTTTATTTTCAAAATAAATCTGTAACTTTAGAAATTTATTCCACAGTATTTTTATTAGCGCATCCCAAAAGAGGCAGGATCCGTACTGATGGACAGTTTAGACCACCATCCTTAGGAGAAGGACTGAAAGGCCTCAGCAGGTCACATCAACAGCGCCAGGGACCTTAGAGACCATTTAAGCCAGTGGTACTCAAGGACTCATTATTAATTTTTCATGATGAATTGGTCTTTTGCGAATTTTCCTTCTAAAAATTTACAAAACAAACAGCTTTCCATTTATAACTGCCAATGTGATTAGCATGAGCTTGGCTGACAGAATTCTAAACAAAAGGAAAAAATACACACCGAGCTTAGTGGGTGGCCTGCTGCACATAGTGGTGTGATTTCCACTAACCAGTCTGAAGTTTCGGAAGCGGCTCTACCACTAACTTCACGGAGCCGTATAATGCAGGGACCCCGGGAGGGAAGCTGCTGATGTCGTCTAATCCCCTTACTTTCCAGATGAGGAAAAGGCACAAAGCAGTCGGGTGACATGTTCAAGAGTGCAGGCCTAGACAAGGTGCACTAACGTGGCACCGCATTGTGTGTGGCCAGGCATTTCTGCTTTAGTGTTTACTGCTTGTGCTGAGAAGTAGTGTGAAGACAGGAAGGCATATGCAACAGAAGGGGAAAGGGCAAAGGGGAAAGACTTTTTTAAAAAACTTTTAAAAAGTCTTGAAATCAGTAGAAAGAAGTGTAGCCTTGAACTTCACGAGTATCTGTGGAGACCTTATGCAAATTCACTGGCTGGGAATGAGTTGGACCATAAAGGTACTGAGGAGATGAAAGAGCCTTTCCCATTCAGCCCCTGGCACCCAGGAACTTTCATGCTAGTACACGGTTTCATGTAGCACTTCTACCAAGACAAGGAAGTAACAGTCACGAGGGCCTGGGTGCCGGATACCGGGCCAGGCACTGCACCACGGCACACGTCCCCACCCAGGCAGAGTGCCTGTGCCCTCGCTCTCTCATCCCACTGGGCACTTTGGAGGGCAGTGAACCGATCCCCTCCTTCACATGCACTGTGCATGCCCACCTTGAACTGGATCACCTTCCCCACGTTTTTGAACTCCGGGAGCACGTCCTCATAGAAGTCCAGGAACTGCTGGTAGGTCTCCTCTTCGCTGTACTCCAGGCTGGCGTCGGGGTCATAGTCGTCCCTTCGGCACTGCTCCATTCCAAACGTTGTAAACATGCTTCGAATAAGAAGGGTGGGACTTGATGTCGGGAAATTGTGTTTACGTGAACACCTGCATATGAAAGAAAAGCTTCAGTTCATCACTCTAATAGTTAGAAATGACACACAAAGAGTTTGCTGTAAACTTTGAGACAGAGACTCAAGTCACTTGGCTGTTTCGACTTAATTGTAAGATAATAAAACCCATTCAGACATCAAATTTCAACACTTAAGAAAACTGTTCTAAGCTTGACCAGTATAGTGACTCAATAACATGTAAAGGTGGGAATTATTTCCAAGTTCATATGCCCTTCAGCTGCCTTTTGATGAAGTTCTGGAAGCCTTACGCATGTGAAAGAATAGGGGAAAAGAAGGTACATTGGCCTAACGCATTATGGTGACAGGCACACAGATATCCTGTGCGAGACTTAGGAAGAAGGTGAGAACACGACAATCCCGGTTCTACACAATCTTCAACCAAATGCTTAGAGACGGGTATCTAAGAGTTTCTAGCTAGTGGAGTATCTCAATCTCATATATGTACAGTGTTTCATAGTTTTCATGACACTTTTAAATTTTTCCCTCTGATCCTTGCAACCTGTTAGGGCAAGTGGGGACTAGTATTTCCTCCACTTTGCAAAGAAGGAAGCTGAGGCCTAGAGAAGCAGACTCACCCAAGTCACATGGCCGGTAAGAGAGGAGCCAAGCGACCGTAGAAACCTACAGTCTCCTACTGCCTGTTCATTTTAGGATGTGATACGTGGAACTAATTTTTACTTAATTGATGGAGGCTCAATGTTGTTTTCATAGTATATACTGGACCAGGCTATACCTGAGTAATTTTTAAAAAAATCTTTATGAGTTTATTTACTTCTTTCTAAAATCAAATGAGGAAAAAAATGTAGTTCAAGATTCCAAATCATCAAAATTTTCCTGATTAGGCTTCTAGTTAAAAAACTGATTAGGGGGCTGGCCGAGTGGCGCGATGGTTAAGAACTCGCTTGGGATGCCAGGGGGCCCCGGTTCGGATCCCACATATGAGGGCCAGTGACACTGCCCTCTGCAGCTAAGATGCTGAGCAATAGCTCAACCTGGAGCTGGGCTGCCGTAAGTCGCCGGCGACGGCGTGGGCTGCAGTCCCTGTGGCAGTGGGTTACCATGGGCTATCATATGTAGCCAGCAGCCAGTGTGAGCGGCCAGCAGCCGCTGTGAGCCGCTGTCCAGAAGCCGGCGACTGATCTGCCTCGCCAGGGAAGAGCGCAATGATGGTGCCAACTTGGGCCAGTGAAGCAACGTCCTCCACAACTAGACTGAAGAACAAAATGACAGCAATTTGTCTGTCCCCCTTCCCCCAATTCCCCAGCACTGTTCCCATCCCCCCAATTCACCAATAAAAATCTTTAAAAAAAAACTGATTAGGACAAAATTTTTAGAAAAAAATATCCCCAGAGCTTAGGAAGAGAAAAATCTGAAGAACTAGGCAAGTCCTAGAAAGAACAACGGCCCTAAAATGACTAAATGTTGAACTCCTATTCCCTTTCCAGGTCTGTGATATGCATCTGTGCACCTAGAGAGAATGTATTCACAGTGCCCCCCGCACCGTGCCCAGCTCAGAAATGTGCAGTGTTCATTAATGGGAAATTTTCTATTTCCCAAAGGACCCGCTTAGATTATTCAATAAGAGCTCCTGTGATGAGATCCATCTTCCCAAGTATAACCACCAGCAGAACAAAGAGCGAGGATTCAACCTGGCTGGCAGCGCTAGCAGTGAATCAAAATTTTACAAGTATGAAACACATGTGGGATTAAACAAGAAACCAATGTAACAAGGTTAAAATTCAGCTCACAGGCTTATTATATCTAAATGAAGCCGGCTCTAGTTCCCAGGGTAGCAAATGAGCATTTGTGAGTTTTGGAACAGAACCAAAGTCCCCGTCCAGGGAAAGTGCCCCCTTGGCCAGGAGACAGGCCATACAATACGAGTGTATTCAAGGCCAGCCCTACGACTCCTACTGAAAAGTCAGCTAAGACAAGACATACTCGGGAAGACAGTCTACAGCTCTGGTACCAAGCCTGTGTGATTCTCAGCATCACCTGGGGAGAACTGAGACTTCTCAGGTCCTGCCCCAGACCATCTGTTCAGACCTCCAAGAGTGGGGGATCCATCCTTTCAAAGTAACTCCCCACCTGATCCTGATGGTCAGCCATGTTTGGGAACCCCTGGTTTTAGACTTGCTACTTACCCATTACTCAGATACTTGAATCAAGTAAGACTGCCACAAAACCCCATACACATTATGTTAGCCCAAGGACTGCCAATAAATGGGGGGGGAGGTGTCTCCACATGCCCCCTCAGGTACAGCTAGCTAACTGATTAGTGCTCCAGGTACCCACCACTGGCCTCATATATATGTTGCGGTTAGACTGTAATCATTTATTGAAGGTCTCTGTAAGAAACATTCTCATGAAAGTTACATATGCAATTGTTAATAATACATCTATCGAAGACATTGTCCGCCTTCCTACTCGATGTCTTATATAGCACTCCACAGGAGAAACACTTCCAATCCGCTGCCAGGCAAAGTTCTGTCATTCCCGAGATACTGCTCAGTCTTCCTTTTTGGTAAGAACTACATAGCTCATCATCTACCTGTGATGTATTAAAACCCAGGGCCAAGTGTACCACACATTCACAACTCGTTTTCATCTCCTTTCTTTGATTTTGATTTATTACACTTAGTGTAGGAGATTGTGAACTTTCTTTAAATCACTTCTGGAAATTGGTGAGGTATAAATAACTACCCCAATAAATAAGTTTTGTTTTTCAGCAGTAATTGTGTTGTTTTAGGAGAAAAAAAAAATAACTCCCCTCAAAGCTGTGACTCCAAAAAAAAAAAAAACAACATCAGAAAGGTTCTAGAATTGGACTCTAATAATTACAAAAACAAAACCACCAAAGAAATGCTTAGGCTATGAAAGTGTCTGTCTGATGACGTGACAAACCCCAACAGAAAAGTTGTGTGACCTGGAGCAAGTTAAGTCCCAGTGGCTCCCTGTAAAAGGGGCACCGTATTTTTGTCTGAAGGGATGGTGTTGGATTTTGTAACCGCTAATTTCATAGGATTTTATTTCACAACTCATCACTTGAAAGATGAAAACATCCAAATAGCTGTCATACTTTTTTTTTTGATAGTTGTGATGGTGAAATTTCATATGCCTATTGGATATTAAGGAGTGTTCACAAACTAATCTGACCACTGTCAATATTTTCTGAGATGGTTTTGAAAGCCTGCCAGCCCATTCCCTTTTCCACAAATACATACTGTCAACTGATTTCCTGAAACCTTTTAGGACATCTATCCTTCTCTCCCTTATGCCCAACAGAAGAACAGAAGGAGGGTTGAGAATCAGATGACCACAAGTCTTAAAATTCAAGGAAATGTTAGCTACACATCATAAGTAAGGAACCCTGCAGTTGGAAAACTTTAAACATGAGAGATGACATACAGTTTCTCATTAAGTACACGTGAAATTGCCAATTTATATCCCTTTTTTGAATAGGACACTATGATACAATTACATCTTTTCTTCTGCAGAATGCATAGTAATAATTAGATTTTGCCTCAGATGGCTTCATTCACCATTATGAATTATGTACCTAATTTGAGTTGTTTAGTCATAAGCAGGCCAAATTATAAACATCACCATTGCCTGGCATATAGTAGGATAATAGGTATAAGCAATATTTGCTAAATGAATGAAGACATTAATGCTTAGCTTACCACATTAATGACTTGTTACAAAAACAATGACCCAAAAGAGGCAGGAGACAAGAGTGTCTCAGAGAATAAGGGCAAGAATAAAATGGAAACACCCGCAAACACTCTGAGAGGGTTTGCCATGTGTCCGGCACCGTCCTACCTGCTTTCCCTGCATTCATTCATTTCAGGCTCACAGCCCCCTTATAAGGGGGATACTATTTTTAATGCTTATTTTGCATATGAGGAAACTAAGGCATGGAGAACATAAGTAACTTTCCCAAAGTGACAGCCGCTATGGCTTGTGTTTGAACCTGGGGCCTGTTCCTGAGTTGGAGCAGACTGAGAATGAAAATTAGAATAGTTTTCCTCCTCTCACTCAGAGCCTGTCTTTCACAGCTATCCCTGTAGGCATGCCAATTTTTTAAAGCCTCGTTTGTGCAGTGTTTGTCATTTAAGAAATAAAGCCAGGCTGCTCTGGTTTCTTAAAATAGATGATTTTCCCATCCAAGTTGTCCCACGTGGACTAATGCAAGCACAGGAAGAAAACAAAAAGCAAAAGATCTTCATAAAGCTGTGGTGGGAACGCAAAGGAAGCCCGTCACAGACGTAGGCTAAGCACCCCAGGGAACAGGACTGCGGGAAGCAGAGGGTGGACAGCTAGGGAACTAGAGAAGCAGCAAGAACACGGCAGATGCCTGGTCGTGAGCATTTCAAACTTGGATGTGAGGGCCATCTGGCTGCGACATCTGTCACCCCATTGATCTCTAGGGTTGACTGGGCTGATCTGGCTGGCTAGGCGCGTGTCCCCTTCCTCCCTCACCGCCCCATGTGCGGCCCTGCCGAAGCTGCGCTCTCGATCAGAAAGGAAAACCTTCCTCGACAGAGGGCTGGCCACGTGGCCCAGGTGCTTAGAGCGCAAGCTCTGAGCAACAGGGTTGCCAGTTCGATTCCCACATGGGCCAGTGATCTGCGCCCTCCGCAACTAGATTGAAGACAATGACTTGAGCTGAGCTGCTGCTGAGCTGCCGGTGGGCGGCCAGATGGCTCAGCTGGTTAGAGCGCATGCTCTTAACAAGGTTGCCGGTTCGATTCCCACATGGGATGGTGGGCTGCGCCCCCAGCAACTAAGATTGAAAACGGTGACTGGACTTGGAGCTGAGCTAGCTGCGCCCTCCACAATTAAGACTGAAGGACAACAACTTGACTTGGAGCTGATGGGTCCTGAGAAGAACACATTGTTCCCTGAAAAAACACACTGTTCCCCAATCAAGTTTAAAACAAACAAACAAACCCCTTCCTCAATAGAGAGGACCGTTCTTCAGTCAAAGGTATATGAGCAGCTGCGTTCCCCTGCTAGAATTGCCAAACAAGTTCTCAAGCTGAACAGTTCAAACTCAAGCCCATGCTACCCCCAAAACCAGAACTCAAAAATCTCAACATTTTGAGTCACTTAATTCGGACACGATAAAGCAAAATGAGTTACCTATCTCCAAATCTGCAAGCTCCTGTTTTGCTGTAGAATGGGCAATTAGCTCGATCTTTCTCCACTACTCTTAAGTCCGTGGGAGGTTCTGGGTTTTGCCAGGTGGTAGCATTTTCCAGCTGTTGAAAATAACCATGAGTTTACTGGTGGTGCAAGATTCCATGAAGAATTAAATGTTTAAAATATATTCAAATATTTTGGTCACAAATAAAAACAGATTCATTTAAAAATATACACATTAAGTGGTAACATGAGATAGAGACTTTACAAACAATTGTGCTGAGACACGAGCTGTGTGTCTCTCTTGGTTCCGTCGTTGCCCATTATGAGGCATCACTACGGCAACCAGGAGCAGTCACCGAAGTTTCCCTGTGTCCATCCATTCCGAAAAGGGTCGAAGGCCTTGTTAGGGAGCCACCACTGAGAGAAATCAAGGTTACGCTGAAGCACGTTAAACCGCCCAGCGGGGGTAAGAGTGTGTGATGTTGCTTATCTACACATTAAGTGCTTGTTTATAAACAAGTACAATCCACAGGGGTGATCTGATACCATTTGCTTATGTTTGTCAATAAACTTTTGTGATTCTCATTGTTGTATAAATCCCAGCGCCACAAAATTGATTCCAGATATTCAGGCATGATCTAAACAGCATACGGCAAAATTAATATTACTGGAAGTATTGTTTTTAAAGACATGTTCATTGGTCTCAAATTCTTAACGAAAGGTTTTAAAAATACCTCATTTTCAGCCCGCTCCAGCATCTTCTGCACAGCTTCCTACAAATGGTGCAAACATAGGACTAATGAAAACCTGGAGGTCAGGTAAGTCATATCTGGTTTCTCTGGTTAAGAATGTCATTGTAACGATTTTAAAAAACCCACACATACAAAAGGCTTCAGATTTCAATTTGCTTTCTACAGCACAGATCTTCCACAAAGCTTTCAAAGGATATACAACTGAGAGTTTTTATTCAAACAGAACATTTCATGGCTCAGATTGCAAAATACTGAATATATCATCTTATAATAGTTTTAGTAACAGTAATATTTAGTATATTTGAGCATATTCACCACATTCTAGTTTTTAAGATGAGGTATTCGTGAATATGATCAAACGCAGTGCTAGCTGAAGCATCATAAACATTTAACAGATGCTAAAATAGGACATGGACAATAGTAATTAGGAGTGATGAAAAATCTCAAACTTTTCAATAAGGCAAAGGAAGTCCTGCAGTATGCCACTAAATTTTCACCTCATTGGCATTTAAATGACTTTTGAAATTATGATCAACAGACTTCTCTTTCCTAGCCTCTTAAGGCATTACATAAAAAACTTGTCTGTCAAGCTGCTTACTTGATAACTCTACCTGGTCACTTAAGGGTCCTTGATAACGTAACACGCTCAAAACAGAACTCTAGGTCTTCCATACCCCTCACCCACCTAAGGGCCCCATTTCAGTTCGAGCTAAAAGCCTACAAATGCATGACTCCCCTCTTCTTTCCCCTCCCTGTCCATTCAGTCTACCAGCTAGAGTCCTGCTGACTCTGCCTCCACACACCCCAGTTTGTGTACTTCTCTGTTTTAAGCACAACCCTCACCCAAATCACCATGTCCTATCTGGAAGAGCTGCCTTCTAACTGGTCACTGTATTTCTACTCTTGCCTCCTTGGTTACAGCTCCCCACCCCTTCACACAAAAGTTAGAATAATCTGGGGCCAGCCGAGTGGCTCAGTTGGTTAGAGTTGGCTTAAGAGCGCGAGCTCTGAGCAACAGGGCTGCCTGTTTGATTCCCACATGGGCCAGCGACACTGCGCCCGAGCTGAGCTGTCACTGAGCTGCCAAAAGGTGGCAGGATGGCTCAGCTGGTGTAACAACAAGACTGCCTGTTTGATGGTGGACTACGGCCACCCACAACTAAGACTGAACTCGGCACCTTGAGCTGAGCTGCCACCCGGATGGCTCAGTGGATAGAGCGTGCGCTCTTAACAACAAGGCTGCTGGTTCGACTCCCGCATGGGATGGTAGCTATATCCACCCGCAACTAAGCTTGAACACAGCACCTTGAGCTTAGAGGCCACGAGCTGCCGATGGGAAGCCAGATGGTGACTGGCGCCCTCCACAACGAAGATAGAATAACAACAACTTGGCCGGTCCCCTTCCCCAACACTGTTCCCCCACTCCAATTCCCCAATAAAATCTTAAAAAAAAAAGTTAGAATAATCTGTTAAAGGTAAAAGATATAACTCAGATGAAGCCATTCCCTGCTTAAAAACTCTTCAACCGTTTCCCATTACACTTTGCATAGAATCCAAACTCCTCCTTCCAACCCAGGAGGCCTTACATGATCTGACCCTGCCTACCCCCCTGACCTCTTCTGCTGCTCGCTCCTTTGGTCGCTAGGATTAAGGCACCTTGACCTTCTTTCAGCTCCATGCTCAGGCCTATTCCCTCTGCCTGGACCCCTTTTCTCCCTGAGAACTCTGCACTCAGGTGTCAGCTCACACATCGGCCCCTCAGAAAGTCTTCCTTGACCAGACAATCTAAAGAAGTATTTCCCTGCCCCAGTCACTCTATCACATGACTCTCTGCTCTATTTCTTCATAGCATTTAACATGATCTTACAGCACTTAAAATGAGCTTTTGGGCTTACTTTTCATCTGGCTCTCTCATCTAGAAAACTAGCTCAATAAGAACAGGGCTGTCATTTTTGCTGCTCTATCTCCATCCATTAGAGAAGGATCTAGCACACAGCAGAAACACAGATTGCAAATCCCTTTATATATGCTTAGAATCTACTTCATCTTACCCACATCTCCTTACTGTCCCACCAGACTTCCTTGGAAACAAAAGCCTTAGCTTTCTGAAAAAAAGCCTTAGCTTTTATCTAATGCCAGAAAGATCTCAACTGAAGAATATTCTACTGTTACAATGGGAATTGGTCACTCTCTCTAAAAAAAAAGACAAGTGCCAAACGATTTTCTTGCACCTAAAACCCTAGTGTGCTCATGCCTTACCTGGAAAGCAGTGCTCAAAAAGGGTATCTAAAATTTGTACTGGAGTTAATTGATAGCCTGAGACATGAAAAACAAAGGTCATAGAGGCTGCTTCCAACCCATCATGACTAGGATGTAAACAAATGCAATGTCCCCCATGAGGTGATTGCCCAATTTTATGCATTTCAAACTCAGCAATATTACAAAAGATACATCCTGATGAATCAGTCAAGGAAAGAGGAGCTGTGATATCTTTGAAAAAAATACACTGTTAAGGAACAGCAGCAAAATATACCAAATCAAGCCTTAAAAACAATCCCAAAGATACAGGAGATACGTACATATAGCCTTACATCTTTTTAAAATGAGCAACTCTGTTTATAGCCCAAGTTGGAAAGGAAGTCAAGATTTAATAACAAAAAAATTTCCTCACACGTGAGTTCCTGTTTCTTTCAATCGACTAATCCTTGCTGACATGTTATGAGCAGTTAAGTCTCTTATGAACTAAATAAATGTGGCAACTACAAAATATTAATTCTCTAACCAAGTCAACCCATGCGTAACGGAACCTTAAGAAAACACCATTTGCTCTAGAGTGGCACATAGTGTAAAGCAGGGGCCAGCTGCCTGTTTTTGTAAATGAAACAGTTAAGTTTTTTGGGAATGCAGCCACAACCATTCATTTACTGATTATCTATGGCAGCTTTCATGGCACACTGGCAGAGATGGGCATTTACAACAGGGACCGCACAGATCATAAAGCCTAAAACATTCTTCTTTGGCCCTTTACAGAAAAAGCTTGCCAACCCCTGGTATAAAGTTAAGAGGCGGAAAGCTGACAAAAAACCTTAAAGTATCCGCAGGGCCGGCGCGTTGGTTAAGAGCTGGCTTGGGATGCCAGTTCTGAGCAGCAGGGCTCCGGTTTAGATGCCACATGGGGGCCAGTGACGTTGCGCCCTCTACAGCTAAGATGCTGAACAACAGCTCGACCTGGAGCTGGGCTGCCATGAGTCGCTGGCGACGGCGTAGGCTGCAGTGGGGCTGCCATAAGCTACCGTGTGTGGCCAACAGCCGGCGTGAGCAGCCAGCAACCGGTGTGAGCTGCCAAGAGTCGCCTTGAGCGGCCATCCAGTGGCCAGCGACCCATCTGCCTCACCCAGGAAGAGCACAATGATAATATCAACATGGGCCAGTGAAGCGACATCCTCCACAACTAGACTGAAGAACAAAAGGACAGCAACTTGTCTGTTCCCCTTACCCCGATTCCCCAGCGCTGCTCCCCTCCCCCAATTCCCCAATAAAATCTTTAAAAAAATAAAATAAAGTATCCGCCAGTGCGCAGACCGAAAGAGCATCAGAAGGGAACTCTAGTGTGTATACTAAAACCATGACTCTTTCTAAACAAAGCCCCCGAAGCCCAAGCCCTGCCATGTCTATAGCTTCTTCCCGCCACAAGCCCAGCTGCTCACTAAGAGGATACGCAGTGCGTTTATCCTCCTGTGACAGGAATCACCTCTCTCTCTTTCTTCTCCTGTAGCTTCTGCTTCTCCTCTTCTTTCTCTTTTCTCTGCTGTTCTTCCCATTCTTCCTTTAATTTTCTCTTTACGGGGGTGGAAAAAGAAGGAAAAGTAATATTTTTTTCAGATTCGCTTTTTAAAACATTTAACATATGGGGCAAATAAATGAAAAACTTGAACAACTTTAGTAAAATGGATGATATCCATTCTTTTAAGTTCAAGGCACGTAACTCTCAATGAGTTTTGGTTAACTAGTTAGTGTGTTCACTGGTTATCTGCTTAATACTGTACCTCTTGATCTTCCTGCCGTTTTCTAGCTGCCTCTTCCTTTTCCTTCCTTATTCTGAATTCTTCTTGTGCTTTCTGCTCCCGCAGCAACCATTCCTCATGTAATTTTTTCCTATCAATGTGATGATGTAATCAAATAAAAGAAATGGGCATTAATCCACACACACGATAGTAAAATGACACATATGGGAATAATTAAACTATTACAAAAGACATTTTCTAGAGAGCAGTTAAGTGGAGGCAAGAAGACCAGAAGACATGAGTAGAGATGTCAGAAAAGCACTACATTTCAGCAACTATCGTCCTAGAGGGTAATGGCTTAAAAATCACTACTCCTACACTTTGCGTGTGTGACACCTTTTACATAAAACGACACTACAACTTTCCCTGTAGGTAGACCATAGTGATGTTCAGGTGCCAATAAAGTGAGCAACAAACTTCAGAGGCCCACATCCAACTTTTCACATCCAAGAAGTATTGCCCTCCCTGTTCTATGCATTTTAAAAGTGGCAATGGCAGAATTTCAGCATTAGGAAAACCTGGCATCTTTGACCATGAACCTTTGGACTGCTACTCTACACAGTTAAGAGACTCCTGTGGTTTGCCACAAGCACCAAAACTGCTGGAAGAAGGAGAATAAAACTACACCATAATCATGTCTTTAAAATCAAGAAAGCTACAGATTTCAAGAAAAGATGACAAGGAGTTATAAAAATAAATAAACAGGTGTCTAGTTTATTTTTTTAAATGACCAATTATAAAGAGTGATGTTATCTTAAAACGGGGTCTCAGACATCCAATACCACACATTTCTAATTTTAAAGATGGGGTATATTTCAAAAGTTTAGTTAGCCATTCGGGTGTTTAGATTGCATTTTCCCACTGAATCTGAACTGGGAAATGAGATATAAGAAACTGTTGTATATCACTTCAACAACATTAGGAATTAAGTAAGGTTTTATGTCTAGCCTGGGGACCTAACCACAATTTCAAACACTCTATGGGAAAATGTATTCCAACTGCAGATTTTAGGAACACGTCTTTTAGCCATGGTAGAGACTGGCATATTGCATATGAAAAAGTTATACGCTGATTTTTGACTGCTCAGAGAAATCAGCACCCCTAAGCCCTGTGTTGTTCAAGGGTCAACTGTATATCATCTTCATCATAACAGAAATCTGTAATAATAAGAACCAGAGTTATTATAGCACCTCCTATCTGCTAACACTGTGTTAAGCACTATACACTTATCACCTTGTCTAATCTGCCCAATTCTATGAGGTTGGTACTATGATTGACTTTGTCTCCATATTTAAGGCAAGGAAATTGAAGCTTAGACAGATTAAGCAACTTGAACACGGCTGGTAAGCAGCAGGGCAGGACTGGAATGCAGATCTGGCTGAATCCAACTCCACGTTCCCAATCACTATTGCATTGGGGAGGAGGGAAGGGGCGGGGAAACATTTTGATAATTCCACCACCTATTTATGTGCTTAGGTAGAAAACAGGAATTAATTACAAGAAAAGAAGCGGCATTTCCAGTGAACATATACATAGCTAGAGAGTATCTATAAAGTTTTCTCCTTTTAAAACTTTTTTATTTTTCATTGTGGCAAAATATACATGCCATAAAATTTACCATTTTAACCATTTTTAAGTATACAGTTGAGTAGCATTAAGCACACTCACATTATTGTGTACCACTTACAAAAAAAATTACCCCCTGAAAAATACTAAAAGAAAAGTTAGCAGAATATTTTTGTTGTCTTGGAATGAATGGGGGTGGGCCTCTTCAAGTTAGACACCAAGGCCAGATATCATAATAAAAGTTGACAACATGAAAACCAAATTATGGCAAGTAATGCTGTAAGCCAAGTTAGGATTTATGAAAAAATGAGAAAAATATACATCGCACATATGACAAATAAAGAATTAATATCCTTAATCAATAACATTGCTTACATAACAAACTTAAAAAAATGTATCCCCAAAAAGATAAAAGGCTTAAGCAATCTACAAATAGGTAACAAAACATATAAAAAGATAGTCAACCCTACTGATTCGGAAATGTACATTTGAGACAATGAAAGATAACTTTTCACAATAGGAGTTTTCAAAGTTGATTAATAGCTAGTGTGAGTGAAGGTATGGAGAAATGGGCACCTTGATTCATGGTTGGTGGAGTTGCAGACTGCAAACCCGATGCCCTTCCTACCTGCCCATCTACATTTTACATGTACTTATCCTTTGATCCCAACCATTTCATTTCTAGGCAAATACTAGGACAGTCACCAAGGATATAAAGTCATGGATGCTCACTGCAACTTTTTGTATAATAATAGAAGTCCTGAAGGTAAATTAATAATAAACTAATAGTAAATAATATAAATAGCACATAGTAAATGAATGTTTATAATAGTAAATAACCTGAATGTTCACTAGTAGAGAATGATAAATTATGAATGAAGAATTATGCTACATCTATATAGTGGACACTGTTTTGCTATTGAAATGGTTGAATTAGATCTCTGCATCAACACTGAAATAAATGTCCTATATATTTGGCAAAAAAAGCAATTTAGAGAAAAAATATATATAAACATCATCCTGTTATAGAAATACATATGTACAGTACATGTACTTTCGTATATTCTTAACAGTGACTATCTTTAGGTATGTTGAGTTCATTGAAGCCCTTTTATACTTTTTAATTATTTTGATTTTTCAAAAACATTCACGAATTAGCAAAAACAGTGAAAAATACTGCCATTAAAAAAAAATGACAACATCTAGGTTTATCCTGTCAACTAGAGATTTAGTTTATCGAGGGTATTTTATAAGACCTATTTTGTACAAGATTTTATAAAGAAGATCCATACTAGTTAGTAAAGACTTATAATATTCAAATGAAATAACTGGGTTCACAAGCGTTTTAATCAGTGCTGACCTCTCTATCTCCAACAGCTTCTCTTCTTCTAGTTGTTGTTCAATAAAAGAGTCTTCCTCCTCCTCCTTCTGTGAGAGTCCTGAAGGAATTTAAATGTTTTATTAAACTCTCTGAGTATCACAAAACCTTAGTCAATAAATCAGGAAAAAAATACATTCTTTAATCTTTACAATTATGGTACAAACCTCTTCTTATACCTTTCTAATAATAAGGGTTGCAACCTCCAAATTTGGTATAACGTGAGCATAAAAAAGAGCAACAATGGTAGTAGATAACACATTAAATTTAAAAAATTAATCGATGGTTCCATAGTGATATTCAAAAAGGCGATGGGGGTATGGGAGGGAACATCCATCTTTACAGAAGAACAGCGACTAAGAAATGCAGGAAAGACTTAAGTAGAAAAGTCACCACTTTTGCAACCCTCACTGTAAATACTACTTTTGGACAAAGGTGCTAAAAACATTGATGAAAGCTTGTTGAGAAGAGGATATTTACACCATCTCAAAATATCAGCCCATAGTTACATACTAATTACAAAGGAGGAAACATCCTTTACAATGGAGCCACATAACTGGTAACACTGACCACAATTCGCATCGCTAGGAATAGAACCGCCTGACACTACAGGTCCCCTGATGTATGCAATGAGAGGTACACAGCAGCAGCTTTAGGTATTTTGCCATAAAGAGTGTAACCCGAAGCTAATTGGGAGAAGACAGACTCATCCAGAATGCGGGGCATTTAACCAGACGACTGGTTGGGCTTTTCTAAATAATTATCTTGGTCTGAGAAAGTTTAAATATGGCCCACATATCCTATCATTGAACTCTTGTTCCTTTACTTGGGTGCAAGTTTAGTATTGTGGTCCTTATTCTTAGGAGATGCAGGCTGAAGTATTTAGGGGTGAGGATCATGGTGTCTCCAACTGACCTGCAAAGGGTTCTGAAAAAAATTTGTATATTATGTACTTATCCATATAAAGAGAGCAAGAGAGGGAGACAGAGAGAGAAAGGCAAAATGTTAATAATTGGCAAATCTAGGTGAAGAGTTCATGGATGTTTATGGTAGTATTTTTTTCAACCTTCTGCACATTGGGACATTTTCAAAATAAAAACATGGAAGACAATCTTTAATAAAATAAACATATCTTCTATTCAGAATTTAAATTTGAGGAAAAAAATGAGGAAAACTGAAGTGATCTTAAGGAAATGTAACAGAAGATCTTGGCTTAAAGGAAAAAGATTTGTGTCTGTTATGTATATTGAGTATAGGTCTCACCAAAGGCTCGCCTCCTCCTAGATAATTACAATAATTTACTTTTCTTAAGCAAGTAAACATTATTTCAATACTTCAAATTAAAAATCAGTAAAAAAAATTAGGATAAGTTCTAACTCATATAGTGTTGCCTTATAGCCGATTCCAAGACCACCCCCTCTGCATTAGCCCCTGACCCTATTAGTCATGAAAGAGGGTCTTGGTATGACTGAGGCCCGGTGGAATGATATCGGTAAAGCTCTCTCTGGGGCGTGTCTCAGGTGTGACTGGGACCTGATGGAATGATATCAGTTATCTCCCCTGGGAGGACACAGTAA